ACCATAATTTGATTCTACTCCCATTGCCCGCCTTTATCTGAAATTTCTCCATAAAGAACTCCACAAGAGGTTGATTCAGACTAGCAACTGCAAGAACATCTCCCCAGATTCTAGAAAGTCTAGCTGATGAGTTTATAGGTGGGAGCCAGTGAACCTCCTCAATCATATACTTGCTGCACACCATTCTTCTCCAAAGAGCATTTACTTCACTTCCAAATTTCCACCACCATTTAAGAAGTAAGCTTGCATTGACATCCCTTATTCTTCTAATTCCCAAACCTCCTTGGTTTAGACTTTTAGAAACTTCAGTCCATTTCACCAAATGAACCTTCATCTTTAAATCATTCCCACCCCAAAGAAAAGAAGCTTCAAGCCTTTCAATCTCTCTAACCACACCACAAGGCATTCTAAACAGGGACAGATAATAAGTCAGAAGGTTAGATAAAACGGACTTAATCAACGTTAATCTACCTGCAAAGGAAAGTAGCCTTCTCTTCCACCCAGACAACCTAGACTTTATTGTATCCAAAAATGGCTTCCAAGTAGATTTCCTCCCTAGATTAGCTCCCAACGGCAAACCCAAGAATTTAAGTTGTAGTCCTTGTACCTTACACTTCAAGATATCAGCATAAGACACCAATATTTCCTCATTTACTCCAACTCCACATACCACACTCTTATGGAAATTTATCCTCATGCCAGAAAGGATTTCAAAGCATCTTAGTATCCGCTTTATGAACACTATTTGATCCAAATCTGCCTCACAAAAAATTATGGAATCATCCGCAAATTGGAGTTGTAAAATCACTACCTCATTAACACCAACTTTTACCCCTTTGATAATACCTTTCTCGAAAGCTCTGTTCATTAGAATATTCAACCCTTCAGCCACTACATTAAAAAGAAAAGGAGATAGGGAGTCACCTTGTCTGAGACCTCGTTGAGGTGAAAATTCCTCTGCAGGTGAGCCATTCACTAGAACCGACAACCTTGTTGTAACAATACACTCCTTCATCCATGAAACCCACTTAGAACCAAACCCAAAGTTATGAAGCATAGACACCAAGAATTCCCAATTAATAGAGTCATAAGCTTTCTCAAAATCAAGTTTAATAATCACACATTTTCTTTTTGATTTTTTCCATCCATCTACAATTTCATTAGCAATAAACACTCCATCCAAAACACTTCTCCCCCCTAAGAAAGCCGATTGTGTTTCACCAATAATTGAAGGAAGAACTTTCTTAAGTCTAAGAGCCAGAACCTTAGAGAGAATCTTGTACAAACTACCCACCAAGCTAATGGGTCTAACATCTGACAACCCAATAGGATTATCGGTCTTAGGAATCAGAGTGATAAAGGAGCTGTTAATCCCATAGAAAAGTTTGCTACTAGCATGGAAGTCTCTCAGAAACAACAAAACCTCCTTATGAACTAACTTCCAACATTTCTAGAAAAATAGAAGATTAAAGCCATCAGGGCCTGGAGCCTTATCTCCATTACACTCCATAACTGCTGCCCTTACTTCAGTTTCAGAGAAGGTAGCTTCAAGATCAGGATAATCAGAGCTATCTTGAACTGATTTAAACACACCAACTAGCACTGGTCTTCTGGCCCAACTTTCTGAATATAGCCTCTTAAAGTGTTGTAACACCTCATACCTTAACTTAGCTGGCTCCTCAATTATTTCACCTTCAACTATGATGGAATTAATTGAATTTCTACTTCTTCTGCTGCTGGCCATAATATGAAAGAACCTTGTATTCTTATCCCCACTAATGGTCCAGTTAACTCTAGATTTATATTGCCACAGCCACTCTACCATTCTACTAAGCTTCCAAACTTCACCCCTCACTTGTCTTCTTCTAGCCTTCTCAGCCGCAACCAGACCTCTATTTTCAACCATAATATCTAGCTCTACCAATTCCTCATCAGCCTTCTTGAGTTTTATTGCTAAATTTCCAAACACTTCCAGATTCCATTTTTTCAGCTCCACTTTCAGCATTTTTAGCTTCTGGAACAGCACATGTCCAACTTTCCCAATAATCCTGAATTCATCCCAAACCTTTGCCACAAACGAGGAAAAGCTTGGATGACTAGACCACGCATTAATAAACCTAAAAGGCTTAGGTCCCCAATCCCTCTCATCATCCATCAGCATTATAGGACAATGATCAGAAAACAACCTAGGAAGACCCAACTCTTTAAAATTAAACTTCATAAGCCATTCCGGATTAAGCAGAAAACGGTCAATTCTACTCCATTTTTCCCCATCTTGTGCATTAGACCATGTGAACTTCCTACCTAATAGAGGCAAATCATTCAACTCACAACTCTGAATAAAAGAGTTAAGATCCATCATCCCTTTATCTCTTCTGGAGCAACCCACCGTCTCACCAATATTTCAAATTTCATTTAAGTCTCCCCCCAAACACCATGGATTTGGAAATTCAGATTTTAATTTGATTAAGGTGTCCCAAAATTTACCTCTACTACTCACCTCATTTGGAGCATACACATTCAAAATATTGCAATCAAATGGATTTAGCAATTTACCTGATAAAAGAATAAGCCTTCTGTTACAGCAGCAATCCACCATCCTGAGAACATCTGGGTCCCATATGCAAAGAAGACCCCCAGCAGATCCCTCAGAACCCACCACCATAAAATCCATGTTTCTCTTTCCCCACAATGCTCTAACCTCCTTCTCCAAAATAGAAACCTTCTTTGTCTCCTGAAGAAGCACAATATCAGCATTTCTTTCATAAATAAGCTTCATAATCCTCCCCCTCTTCTCTAACTTTCCCAACCCTCTAACATTCCAGGACATCAACATCATAATTAAACAAAATATAACACCATATTCCAGCCCAGATAGATACCCAAGCCCCTATTCTTTCCTCTTCTCCTTCCTCCTTACTCTGTCCACTAACTCCAGATCCACCATCTTTTCTAAGGCTTTAGACTCTTTACCTTTGTAATTGATACCCAGGATTTTCCCCAATTGAATGTTCGCTTGTGCCTCACTAAGAATGTGATTTAATTTACTAGAACTACTTTTAGCTGAAGCAGAAAGAGACATGGCAGCAGCAGCAGCCCGAAAGACAGCACATTTAGTAGTGGGCTTGCTTGATGATGCCCCTTTATGGCCATACATTCGAGCAAAAAATGAATAATCAGAGACCTCAGTGATGGATTTAGATGCACGGGAGAAACTTACCTTTCTTTTCCCTTTCTGTTTTGACTTCAGCCCATTAGAAATATTGCCATTACAACCTTTATGCTCTGTTTGCCCCATACACAAACTGGGCCTTGTATCTTCCTAGATAGAATTAGTATTTAGATTTGAATTTGAGCCTCTCATCCCAACACCTACACTATTCTTTACCACAGGGTTTTGAGCAAGGCCCAAATTTACTTCCAAGTTAATACCAGGCCCATGTCTAGCTGACCCACCCATAGACTGAATAAATCCGGGTGTAGCTATCTGCTCCTTTACACATAGATTATCATCATTATCCTGTAGGCTACCCTCTGCCACCACCATCTTCATATGCTCCTCAACCACCAAGTTGTCCCCTACGCCACTTACCGTCTCCTCTACCACTGTGTCTACCTGTTTGTTTACAAGAGCAATATCATTGTCTTCATCTTCCACAGCCAGATTAACATCAAATTGATCACCAACATCAACCCCAACAGATTGATGTTGAACCACCACGTTTGAGTTCCGATCCTCCCTTACCTCACTAGACATAATGCTATCACAGACAGCTAAAGTATGCGGGCAGACCAAGACTGAGTGAAATCGGCCTTTACATTCCAACTTTATCGTTTGATTTATGTACTCCATATAATGCGTTGCAACTCTAATTCTTCCATGACTAAAGGATTGTGGTTGATTAATATTCCCATCCAAACTAAGCACACTACTCCATATACCCCCAATCTTGTTGAAGGTGTTTCTATTCCACATACTCAGAGGAACACCATAACACCTGAGCCACAGACATCTCTCTTGCTCTGGATATACACCTGGTTCCCACAGCTTGACATCTTCGCACCATTCCTGGAACCATTCTTTGATCAATACAAACTGTGACAGCATAACATCTTTTATTGGGAAAGTCAATATAGCAGTCCTACCACCCCCATTTCTAACCATCACATGCCTCATTCCTTTCTCTTTTAGCACCATCGCAATACCCTGCATCGAGAACTCCGATTTGAACTTTAGCAACACACTATCATACAACCAGCCATGCCCTTCTTCATTTACCTGAATCATATATCCTTCCTTACCCCCTTGTCCCTTAACTCCTGTTGTTACCACATCAGCGAAAGATCTTTGAAAACCCAACTGATCACCATTATACCTTCCTTCAGTGACCTTATCACCACTACTCCTTCCAACCTGATCTCTTCTCCCCAATCTATTTGCACTATGATCATACTCGGCTAATTTGACTTTAAGCTCCTTATCCCCCATCTACAAACCATCGGTTTTCTGTATAGCCACATTTGCTGCTACTGAACAATCAAATCTAACAAAACCAAATCGAGTATTGGTATTTCTCCTTCGCTTTTGAGGTATGAACACATCCTTCACTAGTCCAAACTTGGAGAACAAATGAAACAATGTTTTCGGATCCATAGTAGAAGGGATGTTATCTACAAAAACAGAGATTAAGCCCTTACTTCCCTTGTTACTCCATACTCCACTCCTTTTCCTTTGCTTTACTACTGGAATCCACCCTCTGTTTTCCATCTTCTCCGAAAACTCTCAGTTGAGGCTTGGTGCACTACTGTTCAAATAGCCCAATGCCCAGCCCTATTATATTTTCAACCTAATCATAGGTCCATAAAACATAAGATATGAAAGATTAACAAGCAAAAAAGCACAAATACAAGTAATATTTACAATAAACAACTTTGAACACAGATTGTCAATCAATCCATCATAATATAATACGTCATCCAATTTATATGTCATCCAATTTTCAAAATAAAGCATACTCATCTACAACATGACTCACTCAAATAATCCGCTCATCTCAAAATTTAAGAATAAGTAAATAGTATAGAATGTAATACATGTCAAATGGAAAATATGTGTGTAGGAAGAAGTATTCCTCAATAAACTTCCAAGCAATCTGACTCTCTTCATTGCTATAATAGCCATAAAAAATAGCTAGGATCCCAAGTGTAGCTTGTTTCTGGAGACCTGCAACAATAGTTAAACTTATTTATGCCATTTTTTCAACATAAGTATGTGTATACAAAACAATTCCAAATAAGCTAAACTAAAAATCATCCTACTTTCATATAAGCAAGCCTTCTCCATTTTCTTTTCATTATACAAGTTAAAACTACGTTACAATAACCTCTTCTTTTTTTCTTCTCTTTCTTTTCGTTACTCAAGCGTAGTTGCTAAATCAAGAATCGTATCATTAATTAAAATCCAAATTTTGTGAATCGAATCAAGAATCATTCAGATTCAATGCAAATTACAAAACAAAGATGTTAAACAATCATATATGTGAATTAAAATGAAATAAATTGATTTTGACACATGTCATAAAATAGTTCAATTAAGTTTGTTGTTGGATTGTTTGCTTTGCTCTGGTTGTTGGTCTCTCACCAACTAAGAGGTTGGAGCTTGATTTAGTTCCAAGCTCATCTTTATTGATATATTCTATCATACTATGTATGTGTTCATCAATAAAGTTTTCTTTTTGCCGTTCAAAAAAATATAAGAACAAGATTACACCATCCATTTGGGAAGACATTGCCTTCATAGCAAGGTTTCAAAAAGAAGTTACGGTCACCGTAATGGTTGCAGTGGCGGTACCACAATTGCGGGGTGTAAAGGTCGTAACATAACGGTTGCAGTAACCGGAACTGTAACTTCTTTTCTTTTTTTTTTTTAATTTTCGCACAATTTCAAAAACACTTACTGACTTTATAGTTAATAATTTATATGTCATAAATCCATATAGCACCTCTTATTTTTATTTATTTTGTTATTAATTTTTATATAATATAGAGTTCATGGCCTATAATATAGCATAAGCTTTTGATTTTTGTAAGCTTTTGATTTTTTTTTTTTGGAAAATAATTTGTGTAAAATGTGTAACGATGTGTAACAGCCCATTATAGTACTGTTACAGCCGTTACATACCACCACAATGGCCGTTACATGTGTGAATTTTCATCACACAGTAAAAGTGGGTGGAACAGGTAGCGTCTACTGCCACAATCGTTTCGTAACACCACTTTTTAAAACCTTGCTTCATAGCAAGAGATGTGGGTCAAAGTCCCAACAATCGTAAGATTATTGAAAAACCAAAATCTAGGAAGCACGGACAAAGGACATAGGACATAGTGATTTCAAAAAATGGAGACCTAGACAAGGTGAGGACACAACAATAAAAAAATAAAAAATAAAAACAAAAAAACAAAACAAAACAAAACAAACAAATATTTTTATTTGTTATGTAGTTAATACTGCATCTTCAATATATAAACTCACCCTTAAGTTAAGCCTTATCGTCTTTTTTATAGGTGATCTACCAATTTTTTAAATTTAAGCAAAAAGTAATAAACATTCAACATCCAACTTCCATAAAAGCACTAAAGAAGAAGGAAAAAAAAACTAGTTGTCATGTCCCGGTGTGTCCCTGACGTGTCCTCTAAAAACAAATCTATTAATAAAGGGACATACATGTCCCCACTGGGTCCCCATGTTTAACATTAACATTGCTACCACACTTATTTTGAAGTGTCAATGCTTCAATAGACCATAATATAATCTCCATAGATATTCAAAAAATAGGCATAAGAATCATATAATAATAAAATTAAGAAAAAACTTTTATTTTAAAACCTAAACGCTCTAAATAGGTGTGTATTTTATTGTTCAGAAAAAAGAAAAAAAAAATAACATAGTGTTTAGCTGACCTAAGCTACATGACATTTAATTCACTAAAATTGCAATATACAATTCATTGGTGCAAGTAATGTTAACCTAAATGTATTATGATTAACAAAAATTATTGACGAAAAAATGGTAATTACATGTTAGGTTTGATTCAATCCTATTAAAAACTCTCCGATCACCAAAATAACAAGAAAACATTTATAGTTATTGGTTATTTTCATATTAAACATAAACACATGTATTATTTTCACTATAAAAATCAGGAAGGTAAAAAATAGTTGGAATCTATCACACACAATTGTTTCAACAATTGCATAAATTGTAAAAAGTAAATCAAATCATGAATGGATTGTGAACGGTGAAATCTATCATAGGTTATACTTCAAAATAGATTCACCAATAGATTTGCATTGATCTATGCATGAATCGCAAATTGATTTGCAAATTGTGATATTATACTAACAGAGTGCTCAAGCACACACCATTTTACTCAAATAGGGATATGAATCGTTTAGTATCTTTCTAATTGAAAGTTCATATTATAAATTCTATTTGATTATTGATAAATTTAAACAAAACAGAACAGATGCTGAGATATAAACCAATCTAAATTAGAACTTGATTCCAACAAATTTATGTCCTCTCTCGTTTCCAAAATATAAACTACACAAACAAAATTGAGAAATTTCAGCAACAAAAACAAAATTTAAAAATTAAAAAAAAAAAATCAAAAAATCAGAGTTGAATTTGGAGAGACTTACTGCGGAGAGGAAACCTAATATCAACGTCGCAAAAGAAGTGATTGTGAGTGATATCTTGCCCAAGAGCATCGAGAATAGCCTCTGAGCAATACACCATAGTTGAGTCAGTCAAAGGTCCCCATGAGAGTGACTGACCCCAACGAGGACAGTCTGGAGAACGAATCACCGCCATTGCACAGCCTTCGCGGTAAACCTTTTGGCAAGCCTCGGTCTCTGCGGCTGATCTTGGTAGTGAACAGACACAAATGACTAACACCACAACAGAAATCCAGAACAATCTAGTCGTCGAGTCCATCTTCATCATCTTCTTGATGAATGATATCACTGATTGCACCTCCAAACCATAGAGATATATATATATAGTAGAAGTAGTAATAGTAAGAAGAAGGAGAAGAAGAAGAAGAAGAACATGAGAGACTTAGAGAGCGAGAGAGAATTTGAGTTCGTTAAAATTTGGGAAACGTAGTTGGGGCGCATCTCTGTATCTACTACGACGGGAAATTATTTAATACTCCCAGAGCACCACGTGTCCATCCTCCAAACCAATCACCAATTAGTTAGCCGCATGTTGTTCTTTCATCCCCAACTTAAATCGTAAGCTCTTGTGTCTCTCCACCAATCAACATCTTATGGAGCATCACGTGTCCATATTCCGGGAATACTGAATAATCACCCCTACTAGGACCACTAGTCCCTCACGACTGAATAATCACCCCTACTAGGACCACTAGTCCCTCACGCGGGACAGACATAAGTAAAATTTGAAAAATATCAATTCAGTTGTATTTTTAAAAAATTCTTATAAATTAGTAACAAATTTAATATTAAAAATTTTTGATTTGGTTTTGAATTTTGAATTTTGAATTTTGAATTTTGATTTTTTATTTTTTATTTCTATTTTGTAGGTACATCTAATTTAAATATATTTAAAAAATAAATTATAAATTTTTAAAAAAACTAATAAATACCAAAACAACAAAGAGAAAAATTACTTGAAAATCTCACTTTAAAAATCTATATACCGTGATTTTTTTTTACGGACCGGTAGATTTGTTCATTTGGAAATATTTTTAATGAGATCCTAATATATTATTGTGTTTAAGATTTTTTTTGTCCTTATTGATTGTTGGGATCATTTTTTTTTTTAATGTGATTTTTTTTAAAAAAATTATTGATTTTTATAATGGCCATGTTACATTTTTTGTATATTGAATGTGGAATGTGGTTTTATTTTCAAAATGGACATGCGACATATTGGGTCAATTATGTGAAATGTGGTTTGTTCAAAATCAATAATATAACTATAAAAATCTTTTAGTGTACGTTTTTAAAATGTGACATATGGACTGTGATTTGATTTTCAAAATGTTACATTTTTTTGTGGATTAAATGTGAAACGTGGTTTGTCCAAATCAGTAATGGAACTATAAAAATCCTTTGGTGTACCTTTTTGACACGTGACATATGGAATATAGTTTGATTCTAAAATGGGCATGCTACATTTTAGGTGGATTAAATGTGGAATGTGGTTTGTTAGCAAATGTATCAATTTATGTGTTTTTATGATTTTATGGAACTAGTTGGTCGGTAAGTTATGATTTTATGATTTCTGGGTCAATGCCTCCCCAAAAAAATTATAAAAATGTACTAAATTTTTGTATTTTTATATTTTTTAATATTTAATGAATTTTTAAAGGATTAATTACTCAAAATCTTATTTGTAAGGTTGATATTCCATTAAGCTTCTATGTTTAAAATATTTTTATATATGATTATTTTATCTTTATTAAAAGGCAGAATGAATTGAAAACGTGAATTCAATAAGTGCTAATAAAAAATTGTTAGGTGCTCCAAGTGTACTACATGACAATATTGTCCACTAATCACCAAGCATTATGTTTCATGTCCCAATACAAAATTACGGACTTCATCGTCTTTATCAATCACAAATTTTTTTAGTAATTATTTAACCATATCCCAAGAGTACTAAATAATTTATTAAAGTTCCAGTGGTTATTGATGATGTGACATCTACTTAAGTTTTGTTATTTAGAAACTTAAAAGTTTTATTACTTTTATTATACACATTTATTTTTAATAAAAATTATATTTTTTGAGTCTACACAATCTCTCTCTCACACACCTATATATAAGTAGTATTTTTCTCTTACTTAGGTGACACATTCTAATGACTTGACCCCCCCCCTAAAAAATTTATATCAACATGCCTTTTTCATTTACATATAAAGTTCTATACAAACTCAATTTTAATTATAATAATCAATTTTATGTTGACTCTATTTGAAAAAAAAACTATATATAAATAAATAAATAAGACAAAATGTGCTTAATTATGTGTATTGTACGGATTGTCAGTACAATACTGAGCGGTTTGATCCTACAACCCAAAAAAAGGAAGGCCAGCATAAACTGATGAAAAATGGTGTGATCAAATGTTGATGTGAATAGATCGTAGCCATAAATGACAAATGTAATTGATGGTGCAAGTGTGATGGTATATGCAAAGCATGAAGGGGTAATGCGAGACAAACAATATGCAATGATGGATGGATGCACAACGTATAAAATGATTTTTTTTTTTTTCTAATTTTCTTCTTTTTTTTTCATTTTTGTTCAAGTATTCAATTTTTATATTAAAATTAAATATATTTCTTTTTTTTCTATCTTATTTATATTTATTATTAATTTGTAGTGAATTTCCTATTTAACAAGAAATTGTTTAATAGGAAAACTTTATATTTAATTTAAACTTTATATACATATATATAATTATATATAATATGTATAAAAAAAATTAAAATAGCTATTAAAGAAAAATTAATACTCAACATAATTAATCTATCCATTTTTCTTAATTTAATCATAACATACTTAAATTTAATTTTTTAAAATATATAACCCATATTCTTTTTGAGTATTCCATTAAGTCTTGTTTAATATAATATGGCCAAATCATCCTTTTTAATTTTTGTAAATGTTTCTATTTTGAAACTAATACATAACAATAGTCTCTCATTTTATGAAGAAAATCTCTCCCTCATTCTAAAGAGAAAATCTCTCCCTTATTCCATGGAGAAAATCTCTCCCTTATTCTAAGGAGAAAATCCTTCCTCCATTCCATGGAAAAAATCTCAAATTATGAATTTTGAATATTTTTATAATTTGAACATTTTAAAAATAACCTAACAAAAAATTTGAATGAAAATCAAAATACAATGTGAGTGTTCATAGTAAACAACAAACATACAACTAACTTTTGAAAAAAAAAAAAACACATACTAAAGTACAATGTGAATGTTCACAATAAACAACAAATATACAACAAACCTTCGAAAAAATAAAATTCGTACCAAAATACAATGTCAATGTTCACAATTTATAATTAAAATACAACTAGCCTTAAAAGAATAATTCATACCAATGTAAACATTTACACTGCAACATGAAAACATAAAACAAAATTGAAAACAATAAAAATCGACTATTTTAATATTGTTCAATGGTAACAAAAATGATTGTTTAACTTACAAGCATAGTAACAAAAACAACAAACATACAATTAACTTTCGAAAAAATAAAACTTATACTAAAATATAATATGAATGTTCACAATTTACAATTAATATATAACTAGTTTTTTTTAAAAAAAATAAAAAATAAAAATGTCATACCAATGTGAACATTCACACTGAAATGTGAAAACATAAATAAAATTGAAAAAAAAAAGTAAAAATCGACTATTTTGATTGTTCAATGATAACAAAAATGATTGTTCAACCAATACGCATAGTAAAAAAAATAACAAAATACAACTAACTTTCGAAAAAATTTCAAGAAAATTTCAAAAAAAAAAAAAAAACCTCGTACCAAAATACAATGTGAATATTCACAATTTACAAGTAATGTACAACTAACATTAGAAGGCCACTCTGCTTTGTCTTGATTTGGAGGCCACTCAACAATTGGAGTTCGGTGGGTTTATGCAGCATAACAGGTTATCAGTATCATGGGATGATCTTGGTGAAGTTCTGGTGTATAAAGCAGTGGAGATGTCTTTGATTGAAGTGTTGAATGATCTCTAGCTTTCTGCTGTGAAGTTTTGTGGCTACTTAGTATTGGTGCCTCATTAGAGGGTGTATTGGTTGAACTATCTATTAGTATACTTTGCTTTGCTGATATGTTAATCTGATGTCAGTCTTGGTGCTTTTGTGCTGGTTGCTTATGGTTTGCTCAGCACTATCTTGGTGATTTTGGTGACTAATACGCGGGTGTGATAGTCTGGTGCTACTGTTCTACTATTCTGTTTTGCTCTTCAGGGGCTGCATCTAGTGGTTGTTTTGCTGCTTTTGCTTTGTTTGTTGGGCTGCATCTAGTGGTTGTTTTGCTGCTTTTGCTTTGTTTGTTGGTTTCTCACCAACTGGAGCTTGGAGTTTGAGCTAACTCCAAACTCCTCTTTATTGATGTATTTTTCATACTTTGTATGTTCTCATCAATAAAGATTTCTTTTTCCGTTCAAAAAAAAAAAAAAAAAACTAAATGCATACCAATGTGAACATTTACACTACAACATGAAAAAAAAAAAAAACTATTTCAATTATTTAATGGTAACAAAAAATGATTATTTAAACAACAGTATAGTAACAAATTATAGCGATCTCGATTTTTCCCTTCATGTGTTGTGTTCCGGACTCGAGTTCCGTGGTTGGTTGTTGTTGATTATATTCTGTTTCCGTCCTTAAATTCCTTATATTTGAGTTTTAGGATGTGTTGGGCAGGTTTGTTACAGGTTGGTTGGGTTTTGAAACATATGGTTATTGTCCAGATTTTGGTTTCTTCGCTCGAGCGAGGCTTTTGTCACTCGAGCTAGCTTTGGGTTTTAGTTCCTTCGCTCGAGCCAGGGTTCTTTCACTCTTGCGAGCATTTTTACGCTCGAGCGTGCGTCTACGTCTTTTTTTGACCTGAAGGTTGGTATTCTTCGCTCGAGCAAGGGTTTTGTCGCTTGAGCGAGCGAGCTCTATGTTTTGGGTTTCTTCGCTCGAGCGAGAACTCTTGCGCTCGAGCGTGCTTCTGGGTTGCAGACCTGAAGCTTCGCATTGTTCGCTCGAGCGAGGTGTTTGTTGTGTCTGGTCGCTCGAGTGACCATTTCTTCGCTCGAGCGAGCTTCCCATATATCAAATTGTAGCAGCAGTCTTCTCCTTCCCTTTTTGATCTCTTGTTACTTCCAAACCCTAGATCCGACTCTCTCTCTCTCTACATACACCTTCTCTCTACAAATACACTTAATTCTAGTGGTCTTCTACCCTAGTCTCTTTGTAAGAAAGGTAGAGCTTGGTGT